ATAATGCATTCCGTTAGCATTAAACAATCCCTGTCACAAAAAAAATCCTCTTCCAATGTTTCTCAAACATGATTGAGGTACATGCACACTGAATTTCAGAAAAAATATTCAATAACTGATGAAAAAAACCTCACTTTTTATATGTTCATTTTCCAAGCTGAATAAAAGTCACAATTCGGGAAAAAATCCATTTAAACTTGTAAATATCATAAGGTTGGATGTCCATGGAGATGTATTTGTTGAGATATTGCCCAAACCATGAAATGCACATTCTCACATCACTTTGTAAAACCATATAAATGTCTTCCAAATCACATCCATGTTTACATTGCACTCAAAAGTAGTGCCAAGAAAGGAAAGGTAACCCAAGGTATGGAAGTCCTGAAATGTAATAAAAGACTTAACAGTTAGGGGAGATAACTCTAACTTACAAATTTCCAGGGGAGATAACTCTAACTTACAAATTTCCAAAGGAAATGTTTTCTTTGGAATAAATAACCAGGAGAGTAAATGTATTAAACATAAGCATTTACAGCAATACTTAATACAGGAAACAATACGACAGCCATAAACAAAGTATAGTGTTCATGTCTTCACAATGAATTAAGGTAAAAAGTCCCAACGTTGTGTTTTGTAACCAAAACAAAGATTTTCAATTCATCAGTAATTTTCTGGCCTGGGGTTGCATGTCCATTTACAATATTAAATATTGAAGAATATGCAATTTTGCATGTCTAACAACATCTTCTAATTTAAAAAATGCTGAAATGGTCCAATCTTTTGCCAGAAAACACAAAAATAATGATACATTCTGTATGAATGAACTGAAAATGATGAAGCTTACATTTAATTCACATCAATTAATTTCAGTGATCCCTCTTGAAAATCCTGTAGTGGTTGTCTATTTCTGACAGTGATTCTTCTTTATCATATTTTATTTCATAGACTGCTTCCTGAAAATTACAGAAAATGTCAATCTAATTTAAATTTGTTGTTTCAAACTCGTGACCCATAAAATGTAATGAAACTGAAATCTCTATCACCTTAATTAAAAAGGTGGTTGTACGAATTATAAATGTGTACTTTGTGTCCATCTCTGCCTCTCACAACCTGTAGAACAGCGCCTTTGAACCAAGATGTTTTACCCTGACTGTCAATCACAAATTCACATCATATATTAAGCTTTTGGTTGGTTGTTGGGTAAAAATTGCAACAATAAATTCCAGGATATACTGACAGAAATTCAGTGTATAATATATCACATTTGCCCTACTTTCGTGACCTCACAATATAATAAAAATAATCCACTTTGATATCATTTTTCCTTGCTATGTATGCAGCTTGATGGATATTAAGTGTTTACTTTGAAACTTTTTAGGTCACCTGAGATGCAGTCTCAATCAACCTATTCTAATCGCCTTTTGTCCCGTCAATGTGCGTCCGTAAACAATTTACATTTTCGACTTCTTCTCAGAAACCGCTGGTCCGATTTCAATAAAATTTTGCAGGAACCTTCCTTGGTCAAATATGCACCAAAATTGGGAATTATATGGTTCCCAACCCCAGGTGCTCTGAGGGCGGGGCTAAAAGTGGTCAAATTGGCTTGAATTTTTAAAATCTTCTTCTCCAGACCCAGATATGCTGGAAACCAATACTCTTCATAGGTGGAAGGGTTTATAGATACTTTATCTATCAAATTTGTGAATTTCATGACCCTCAAGCTTCACGTTTGCCCCTGGGGAGGGGGCGAAATTTACTATAGTTTATATAGGGTATATTTTGTTCATTTTCTACTGGAAATCATTCAAACTTGATTAACATTATAACCATGAGATGACAGCTTGATACTTTGACATTTTTAACCCTGTCTCATCCCCAGCCCCTGAGGGGCGGGTCTAAAAGTGGTCAAATGGGCTTAAATTTAAAAAATCTTCTTCTCCAGACCCAGATATGCTGGAAACCAACTTTCTTCATAGGTGGAAGGGTCTATAGATACTTTTTCTATCAAAGTTGTGAATTTCATGACCCTCAAGCTTCACGTTTGCCCCTGGGGAGGGGGCGAAATTTACTATAGTTTATATAGGAAAATGCAACTTTTGAATATATTTTGTTCATTTTCTACTGGAAATCATTCAAACTTGATTTACATTATGACCATGAGATGACAGTTTGATACTTTGACATTTTTAACCCTGTCTCATCCCCAGCCCCTGAGGTGCGGAGCCCAAATGGGGCCATATAGCCAGAAATTTCAACAGTCTTCTCCAGACCCAGATATGCTGGAAACCAATACTCTTCATAGATGAAAGGGTATTTAGGTGCTTTATCAAAATTGTGAATTTCATGACCCCCAGACTCCATGTTTTCCCCTGGGGAGGGAGCAAACTTTACTATAGTTTATATAGGAACATGATACTTTTGGGTATGTTTGGTTCATTTTCGATTCAAAATTATTCAAACTTGACAGACATTACAACTATGAAACGACAGTTTGATACTTTGACAGTTAGGGTCCGGTCCCGCCCCCAAAAGCTGAGGGGCGGGGCTAAAAGGGGTCAAATTGGCTTAAATTCAAAAATCTTGTCCAGACCAAGATATGCTGGAAACAAGAAATGCTCTACCACTGAGCTAAAGGGACATGTCCTGTCAGCTGACTGACAGAACCACTATTTGTACATAGTACATATACTACCCAGATCTTTCACACTACTTTTGAATTACATGTAGTTCAAGTTACCTTTGTTACAAAATTATTTCTTTTTCATTTGGCAACATCGATAACATCAGTTTTTACATAACTCAGGTGACTGTTAATGCCCACGGGCCTCTTGTTTTAAGAAATACAGATATTTTTTTTCCAGCAGTGATGAACCTCAGATCATGACCACACAGGCATGTTAATAATGACATTTTGATGGTATACATACACTATTACTTGAACACGACTGCTCATTGGTTTGAGTAGGATTCTGTGCCTGTTGTTGTTCTGGTGTTGGACTGTAACTAAGCAAAACAAATTGTTTATCATGATATGGTCAAAGGTTTGACCCCGCTTATTAGTCCCCTACTGATGAAACCGGGGGGACTATAGGTTTCCTCTCCGTCTGTCTGTTTACGTACGTACGTAACACCAATGTTTGTCAGCGCTCTAGCGGCTTCATTCCTTCAGGGATTTTGATCAAACTTCAAACAAATACAAAGGACCATAATATCTCAGACAATTTCGAGTTTCAGGGTTGTCGGGTCAAGGTCAAGGTCACTGTTACTATTTTTAGAAAATCCTTGTCAGTGTTCTAGTGGCTTCATTCCTTGAGGGATTTTGATCAAACTTCAAACAATTACAAAGGACTAAAATTAGCCTGGATCATGGGGACTAAATTTTGTATAAACGAAGGGTGAGAACCCTCTGGATGCTGAGAGTTGCGGGGCCCAATAGGGCAATTAGAGGTTTAAATCTTTCTTCATCTGTACCATTGGAGGGATTTTATGTAATAAGAATAATTTCCCATGGTTGCTTTATTATCCAGGTGAGCGATACAGGCCTCTGGGCCTCTTGTTCCAAATATTTGACAAGAAGATGCAAGAGAAAACCATGTTTGTCGTTGCTTCATATTCATGACATTATTGTATTGTATCTTGGTACAATGCAGTGGGTATGATTATACATGTAAACATCAAAATAATACACTATGGTCTACTTAAGACTTTGAATCAGGTAAAGCATGTTATAAGTTTTGAAGAAGATCTAATAAATAATGCACATACATTTTTACCTTGGCATGACTCAAGGGCCTGTCAAACCAGTGGGACTATTATTACATGTAATATTACAGGCTTAAAGCCTTCCAGACCTGCTAATATCAGTGCAGGCTTTGAAGTCGTTGCCATGACTCAGGAGAAAGCACCGTCGGGTCACTAAGTGAGCCTCTTTTTTTGTAGCCTGCAACGCGAGACGACATATAGGTATTACTTTGCGGGCGGCGGCGTCGGTTGCAGCGTCCGAAACAAGGTTCCCATGCGATAACTTGAGTTCCCTTGGGTTGATTGCACTCAAACTTGTTACACATATTGCATACTAATATAGCTTAAACAAGTTTACATTTCAGAAGTTAACATGCATTTTTGATGGAGTTATGCCCCTTTAATTGCCAAATAAGGGCATTGTGTAGTAAATGCAAGAACTTTTTTAATTTTTTAATCAATTCCTTTCAAATTTTGTACAGTAATGCTAAAAGCAATAATGTTCAACATGTATTACAAGTTTTTCTGTCGAATTTCAACTTTCTGTGTTTTGGTCTATCACACTTGACATAGCAATGCTGTTCATTGTTTTTGCCGTTAACTTTTGCTTGTTTATGCGATAACTCAAGCCAAAACACTTTTCTCACTAAAAGCGCTGAGCAAGCGACACATTCACTCCTGCGGAATTCTTGTTATTAAACAACTGTGGTCCTGCTGGTCCAACTGCTTGGAACGATAGACGAAAGCAGCCATAACTGTGAAACTGCCGCATTAGGAGGGAGACTCCCTCATTTTGACCAAAATTGACCAATCTCCCTGGAAACTCCCTCATTCTTGTCCATACTCACACAAACTCAAAATCTACATCCTGTTGTCAAATGATCTCATAGTTACTGCAGGGTGTGTGTAATGATCATAACAGGTGTGTCTGAATGTCTTAATACTTGTTGGAGTTATTTTGATACATAAAATGGAAAAGACAAATTGAGCAAAGCAGTTTCAGTCTCATTCCACACACTTTCTCCCTCACTGGAAATTTTAAATGAGGGTAGATCTTCCTCATTGGAGGTTTTAGAGGTTGACACCCATGGAAGCAGTCTATAGTTAAAACTGAAGAGTTAAGAGTCTTTTATACAAGATTTAATAGGTGTTGAAAAACTTTCATGTCTTTTTAAGCAATGCCTTCAAACTAGCAGTAGCCTCTTTTGTTCAAAGAAAATAAGAATTCAAACTACTGGTATATTTTTTTTTCATAACAGATACAGCTGCTTGAAAAGCGTCACCAGGAAAACTACAGCGAGTACCAACTAGTTCAACAGATGTTGGCAGACACTCGCAAGGAAAAACAGGGACTTGAGAAAAAGTCTTCTAATGTAAGTCGTTTATGTAGACAAATGAAAAGAAATATAGGATCTTACATGAGTTTCCATTTCATATGAGATTTATGAAACGAGTCTAAGAATTTTTTTCAATTAAGCAAGCCTCTGTCCACATTTTGATTTGTGTTGTATGAAGAGAAAAGAAGAGATACTTTTAGAAAGGGAATTTAAAAAAAAAATCATTAGTGTAAGGCTGTTGATTTCTTTTCTTCCCCAACAGCTGCACAGCCGTCTAACAAAGACGTTGAAGGAGCTACAGGAGGAGTGTGAGATGAACAAATGCTTACAGGAGAATCAGGTTGTATGGCAGAAACGGGTGGAGACGCTGGAAGGTCAGGTCCGCAATCTCTCCATAGACAAGGAGAAGGTCAGTATTCATAAATAGGAGATCATACAAATTTGTCCGATATATTCTCATTGGTTGAATCATGGTCAAGTGGAGGTCGGTGATTTATGATATTGACACAGTGTTACTATTTTTAGAAACATCGGGTGAATATTCTCTTTATGACATTACTTCAGTTGTAACGTCGAAATACTCTCTGCTTAGTGCAGTACTTTTCTGTTGACAATTTGCATACGTTGTATTTTGGTTAACGATAAAGACATCCTAATATCACATTGTATTTTGGTTAATGATAAAGACAACCTAATATCACGTTGTGTTTTGGTTAACGATAAAGACAACCTAATGTCACATTGTATTTTGGTTAACGATAAAGGCACCCTAATATCACATTGTATTTTGGTTAACGATAAAGACACCCTAATATCACGATGTATTTTGGTTAATGATAAAGACAACCTAATATCACGTTGTATTTTGGTTAACGATAAAGACAACCTAATATCACATTGTATTTTGGTTAACGATAAAGACACCCTAATATCACATTGTATTTTGGTTAACGATAAAAACACCCTTATATCAAAGGTAATATAACAGTTGTTGTGAATATGTGATATATGTACCTAAAAACTGATATCGACTGCAACTAACCCTTTCACCACTGTAGACCATAATGGATTCATCCAGATCAATGCATGGTAGAGTCTACTAAAGTTACATAGGGATGAAAGGGTTAAAGTCAATATCGCTTTCTAATGTTCATAGAACCGTATGTACACCTCAACAAAAGTCCATAATTGATAAATATTCTCAATAGAAGGAAAAGTGCAATTGTTAAATCCTTCACAACTATACCAAATATGAAAGTGTTGACCAGTAACATCAAATCTTGGATGAAGAGAGCGGTGTTATTTTGGGCAGGGTGATGATATATGTGATTGTTTTACATGGCAAGAGTATTGTAAAATTGTATGTTATTGTGAATTATCCCTTCATATTTTTGAAAAATTAAATTAAATTGACCAGCGAAATTGGATCTCATGAGAAAAATATCCTATTATATGCTTACAAAATAATGGATTTTTGCATTTACCAATGTTTTCAAGTTATTTACTTCTATTTGCTGTGATGTTTATATGATTAATCTATTTTCCTCAGGAAATTCAAGAACTGCGTGAACAATTGAGAGATGTCATGTTTTATCTGGAGGCCCAACAGCAACTGGCGTCGACCACAGCAGTGTCTCAGGAGGAAATACAGGAAGGTCAGGTGGTTGTCGGGGCTACAGGGTCAGCTCCATCTCCTTCACACAAAAGAGGTAGAAAGAAGGACAGATAACTGTGATTTAACACTACTAAATGTGATATTCCCCACTAATAATGGGACATGTAGATTCCATTATGATAGTGGAGCGGCTAATCTGCAATATTCGATGTGTCTTGTGTATTTTAATTACACACATGTGCTAACTGCCTGAAAACCTTTTTTCCAGTGTATAGCTGTATTGATCAGCAGGATGTTGTTGGGCATTGCTAGAACTCTTCCGAAGTATGTGTGAGTGTGTAATTTCCTAGAAAAATCAAAAAGATCAAGTCTGGTTATGTTGATTCAGAAATGTTGATGGTTATCACAATATTTTAAAGTTTGGTACAAGTAGAAAGACGGAATCAGTAGATTTTGTTTTAGTGTGAGGAATGTTAACTTTGCCGTAATTTCTCTGCAAAAGAAATCAGAAAGTGATTTATGATCTTTTTATAGGTATGCTGTTACTGAGTTTTGTAGATATAAGATGATACATTCTCCCACCTCTGTGGATGAAAGATACATGTGCCCCATGTGGAACACCCATGTTTATCCCCCATGGGTGCACTCCATAGTCTGGGGCCTGTTCGCTTATGTGGAACAAACGGTTTGTCTGATTTTAAATGTAACATTTTATGGTGCAAATACTGGCAGACCTGCAAATGTTTATGACCAAGAAATACAAGTTTTGGGAGTACAAGTAATAGGCAGAAAACCCAACCATAGATAGAACTAGAAGGGATTTATTTTGGAGTCCTGGGGTCATGTAGATTTTGTATTTCACTTATGTTTGTGCATGACTTTATGCTAGGATTTTTTTTAAAATTTATTTATGTTTATATTTTGCTACAGGAGGCTCTTATCTTGTAAATATCTTGATTTTTGTGAATCCTTCTTTTAGTGCTTTTGTTTCTGACAAGATATTAACCAGGTTTTGATTTAATAAACATTTACAGATATCAATCCCTTCTTAAAAAGATCAGTTTAAGGGTTTAGAGTACAGTCAGGTTTATATACAGTATTACCATTAGCACTGTTATGAAGGTTCCTGTACTTAAGTTGTGTTTTTTTTTTCTACAGGTGTATTCAATTTTAAACACATCTTGTGATGCATTGAAGAGAATAACATTGGTGCAAAACACAAGAATATGCATTTCAAAACTAAAGTCAAAATAGTAAAGAAAAAAGAAAACTGAGGACATTTCTTATGCAAATCGTATAATTTTGCTTTCCAAGTATTGTAAATGCACAATATCAAAATAAGAAATGAAATACCTTATAAAGAGAAGTAACTCTAGGTCAGAAGGGAAGTAACTCTAG